TTTTTCAGATAATACTCCAGAATGTTATATTAAGTTAGCATACAAATGCATGGATGCTGATCCTGAAAAAAGACCAACAGCTGATGAAATTTTAAAAATTATTACTTTTTGGAAAGATGCAGTTGAATCTAATATTTCTAGTTATTCTGAAGAACAGCTTGATAAATTAGGAGAAATAAGAAAAAGATTTGAGGAAGCAGACAAAAAACCCTTTAATCCTTCAACAATTATGGCAACTATTCATCCAGATGCTGTTTATACAAGTAGATTATTGAATTTTACAAATCCTCCTCAACCTGTAAACTCCAACAAAGTTACAATTATTAGTAATAATAATGGTAATTATCATCAACTATTTGATTATTAATTTAAATTCAATATCAACATTAATGTTAACATAAATTATCACATTTACAGTTTCTCACCTAATGGATATAAATATTTAAATTATTGAAATTTTTCACATTAGCTTTTTTATCTTTTTTATTACCATTACAAGAAATTAATTTACATTATTAACATTTTTTATTACATGACATATTTTGTCTATCTATTTTAAGTTCCACATAGTTCAGACTAATGGAACCAACCACCTAAAAATTTTTTAATTGTAAAAATCTTCGGTTAACCAGTTAAATAAACTGTTAACTGAAGATTTATTTAGTTAGATCATGCAAGGTTATTTATTTGTTAAATTGGTTTCATTTAACCCACTGTATTTAGCCTATGACTGTTTTAAAAACTGACATTAGTTTTGGGTGTTATATATAGTAATTACATATATTATTTAATTATTTCAATAAAAATATTTCTTTTTAAAAATAAAATTTCATTAAACTTTGAAGCTTTAAATTTTATCAAGCAACAAGTGATTGAACTGCAAGAAATCCAAATCAAATTATTGTAAAAGATCAGGTTAAAAAAATGGGGTTTTTATTAATTAAAATTAAGGTTGCTTGCTGAAACCTCTTAGTACCTGTCAAAACTCTGTTGAAACTTTAATGAACAATTAGTATATACCTTGTCAAAACTATATATGACGATTGACAAAACCCCCAAATGTGAAACTCTGCCAAAGCTCTAATTAACAATTAATGTGTAACCTGTTGAAACTCTGTTGATTGATTTCTGGAGGAGTTTTGCCCACAACCTTACTGTATATTTACACTTTAATCAACTTTAAATTCATTTGATTCCATTTGAAGCTAAATTTCTCTCACTCTAATTAAATTATTTTGTCTTCGATTGTGTAATGATCTTCAAACCAATAAAATCAGCATAGTGGACATTTGCATATTTGGTAATGATTGCAACAATCACATTTTGATTTTATCACGTAAAAAAGAATTTTGATTGGACTGAATATCATTACTAAATAAGCAATTAGAAAGGGGATAACTATATACCAAAATCGTGATTTTGAGTTAACAACACTCCTATGTGTAATTTGGTACAAGGATTAATTTTACCTTAGAAACAATACCCACTTTACTTAATAAAATTTCGAGATAATTAAAGAAAACTTCAAGACGTACAAGAACCAACAAATTGGTATTATACTAAAACAAGTAATAGTAATGACAAACCTAAATCCGGAAATTTGGTTCAAATCATGTAACACGAATTTATTAAATGAATTTTGTTATTTTTTTTTTAATAATAATAAATTTTGTTATTATTATTCTTTTTAATGGATTTTTACCCTTGATCACAATAATCTTTGTAGAAAATTTAATAACACTTTGTTTATTATAGCTTTATTATATTACTCAAATAAAAAAGCCCTTCTACAGTGGAAATTACTTGATCACTGAATTTTTTATTGCCACGTAGATATATACTTGTATTACATTATTTGAATCAAATGCCCAACTCGCAATAGATAATTGGTATGGCACCAAATCACGTGATCCTTTAATTTCTCCAAAAATGGAATTTAACCAAAAAAAAAAACAAAAAACAAATCATAGTTCAGTAGTTTGAAAACCAAGATCTTTTTCTCTACAAAGTTACGATTTCATTTGTTGATATGTCATGCTACCATGGAAATAATCAAGCCTCGGAGTTGCACATGCTAAAATTGGCAATTTTTTTTATGTAACAACTCTTTAAAGATGTGTCACAAGTAGGGATGGGGTGATTTGGTTTGGTTTGGTTCTGGTTCCATGGAACTGGTTACAATAGAACCAAACTGAACTGAACCATTCAAACTGGTTCTTGGAACCGGTTCCAAAATAGATGTAACACAAAATATTGTCAAAACTAATTTTCTTTGAAAATTTTCACTACATATAAAATTTTCTTTAAGGGTATTACTTCCTAATATGAAAACAGTCTATGAGATACTATCTAGTCATTGTCCATATTTAATGTTGGCGATTATTTTTGTTTTGCCAATCATTAAATTGACCAATAGGAATGAAGGTAGGTAAATGAAAATGACAAAAACGGATATTAAAATATCACGATATGGTGAAGTGGTTTTGACCTCAAATAAATTTAATTATTTAATATTAACGGATGGTTTTATTTGAATTGTATAAAAAAATGGACCTTTGGCGAATTGCAAAAAAGGTTTTTGACATAAATTTTAAAAATGAACTTTTGGCGTGAACTGTAAAAAGAATTGTAAAATAATGGTCTGTAAAAGAAGTTTTGATATTATCCTAATAAATCATTTAAATTGTAAAAAATAGACTTATGGAGTGAATTGTAAAAAGATTTTTTGAATTGTAAAAAATGGTCTTTGAAGAATTGTAAAAAAAGACTTTTGACATTATCCTAATAAATCATTTAAATTATAAAAAATAGACTTTTGGCGTGAATTGCAAAAGATTTTTTTGACATGTAAAAAATGGTCTTTTGGCGAATTGTAAAAAAAGACTTTTGGGCGTGAATTGCAAAAGATTTTTTTGAATTGTAAAAATGGTTTTTTGGCGAATTGTAAAAAAAGATTTTTGAAATTATCTTAACAGATCATTTAAATAAAAAAATAGGCTTTTGGCATGAATTGTAA